TTAGGGATTTTGATGACTGTTGGTATTTTGATTCAAGAAGCCGGGAAAAATATTGGGTTTAATCGGAGGATGGGAAGAAATTTATAGCGTTTTTGTTTGGTCTGAGTGGGTAGCTAGCTAAGGATGTGTTTGCTATGATGAAGTCACAGATTCCATTTGGGCGTAAATCTATGCTTGAGGGGTATGGGGAGTTTATATTTAGAGCATGGAAGACAGTTGAAGGTGAATGCAAGGATGAGATTGAGAATGTATTTCTACAAGAGTTGGTTGAGGGTGTCGTACATGCCAGGTTAGAGGCATTTTCTGATTTTCATTATTTCTTAATGGTGCTTTTGTAGGATACTGGAAGGCACAATCTTGGATTGAAGGCAAAAGCGTGAATTTAGCTTTATGGTGGTGATGAGTGAAAAATAACCTGTAGACAGTTCTATAGAAATAAAAAAAAGGATAATGGCTCCTTCAAGCAAAGCTGAGAAGAAGGCTGCAGTTGATGCAGCAGCATTGATGTTTAATGTAGTCACTTCAGTTGGTATCATCATTGTCAATAAGGCGTTAATAGCTACTTATGGCTTCAGCTTTGGTAAATTTCTTGTCCTGGTGGAAGGAAAATTTAATTTGAACTTCTTATCAATAATTTTATTTGAAAATTTAATTGCCTCATATATAATCAAACTAAAGTAGTACTTGGTTTTGTCAGTAATATTCATATTTTGTGATACTGGATCTACTTGTATGGACATACATACTGAATTGAGATAAATGTTTTCAATAATATGAGCTGCTTACGATATGACTATGAATATTGCGGTCCTCAGAAGCAATAAGTTCCAACACTTCCTCACTTAAAGAAGTTAACATTACTTACCTTTTGTCTGTGGTAAAATTGATGGAAGACCAGGGGTACCAAATGTGGTTTTCAGATCCTATCTTCCGGTTGATTTTTCAATCTGTTGTCTGTTGTGATGCAGAAAATCTCACTTAAAGAAATTGTTACCATTATAAAAAGGAGCAGATGCCTAGGACTGATTCATGAAAAATCAATTTGTATTTGAATAAAATTGTTGATAGTTTCAATTCCAAAGCCCCAACCTCATTCTGCCAAATGCAGCTTAATAGAGTTCTACGTATTATGAGATTGATGAT